GCTGGCATGTGGTGCTGGGGGATTGAACCGCGGTCCCTGTGCTTTGCTAAGCTTGTTCTAAGTAGGTGCTTTAGACCACTGAGCCATCTCACCAGCCCTTTCTTTTTATTTTTAAAAATCAAACCCGGTCTTTGTTCAAAATCCTGCTGGTATGATATAAGAAACATTTCACAATTTCTTTCATGAAGTTTTTTTATCACCTACTGAACAAAATGCAACCCCATCAGAACATAATCACCACCACCAACTCTGAACAGTGTGGCCGCCCCGAGAATGGTGCCATTTATGCAGGTACTTCTCTTTCTGGATTCTTTCACTATTTGCTGAGCACTTATTATCTATAGGATTTTCAAGACTTCCCTTATTAATTAATTATTTTTGGTTTTTTGAGGCAGGGTTTCACTATGTAGCTCAGGATGACCTTAACCTATGTGGCCCAGGTTAGTCTCAAATGCACAGTGATCGTCCTGCCTCAGCAGGTGCGCGTCACCATGCCAGAGTGTTAACATTTTTGAGTGCAAAATCTTGTATTTCTCACAAAGATAAGAAAGAGTCCAGGGTTACAGAAACTAACCCTGTTAGACACTTCCTGGTGTCTAGCAGTCAGGACACAGCAATGTGTTCAGCTCCTGTCAAGGAAGAATTTGTGTTACTATTTTTAATAGAACTACTAGTACTCTGGTTGGCCACCTGCCTGCACTAAGGAGTCTGTCCCTCATTTTTTTCTTTAAAATTTATTTGGTACAGGGTCTCACTATGCAGCTTGATCCTCCTGTCTCAGCCTCCCCAGCACTGGGATTACAGGCATGCTTCCTCATGCCCAATTTTGGTGGCTAGCACGGCGGCATGGTATGTGGTGCCTGGGATCAAACCCAAGTCCTTTTACTTGCCAGGCAGGAGCTTAGACTGCTGGGCTATCTCCTCAGCCCTCTCTCTCTTTCTTTCCCTACAAGATGTGGTACATACGCATCATTCTAGGATCTCCAGCACCAGGTTTTTTTGGAATATACATTCATACTGTCACAGAAACAACTGTTCTTCTTTTAACATGTTTTTAAACTTAACACAGCCAAACTAAAGAAGTTCCATATACACATGATTAGGATCAGTAATTTAGGATGACAACCCCTGAGAAATGGTGCACAGTCTTCTGGGGAGCTAAACTGGGAGACCTTTGAAATAACTGAAGCGTTTGTCATCTGCATGACTCTATTCATGCAGGTTGATGGCAGAGCCTGCATTCAGGATTAATAAAGGAATAGTAATTTTAAAAGCTCTCTTTGACTGGACGAATCATCTAACAAAGGACAGGTTGCTCCATCACTGGAGATAGCCAGACCCACGTCAGAAATTTCTGACGTGGGTCTGGCTATCTCCAGGGAGGGGCTTTCTGCACCAGGTAGAAGGTGGTGCAAAGCTCCGTATCTTTCTTGTTTAAGACTCTAAGACCATAGGTTTCAGCAGACTGGTGGTTTTCCTCACCAGTCCTCTTCCTTAGGCCTCAGGGAGCCTCTGTCCCTCCAGGGCTGCTGCCTGCCTGACAGGCACTCTGGTGCAAAGACACAGGTGGGTGGGGAGCAGGGAAACCTCCAGCCTGGGCAGAGGCACTGACTCCCAGGCCCCAGGGAAATCAATCAGTTATTCTTCCCCAAGTCTGCTTCTATATCACTAGATGGGAAGAAAACCCTAATCTATCTATCTCAGAGGATAGCTGCGAAAATTAAATACCTGTAGTACATTCAGTTTCTTATACCGTAATATAAAATGCTATACTTATGCAAGATTTTTTAAAAATGTATTTAGTACAAGGTCTACAGGGTCTCACTACACAGATTAGACTTGTAGTGATCCTTCCTCATTTTTTAGCCTCCCACGCACTGAGATTACAAGCACATGCCACCACAGCCAGTCTCAATCAACATCTCAGCATGCTCCGGGGGGCAGGACAGGCATGGCAGGCTGGGATTGAACCCCTGGCCCCTGTGTCGGATTAAGCAGGCATTTTAATCTGCTGAGCTCTCTGGGTAGCCCTATGTAAGATATTCTTAACAAACCCCTT